CTGCATATCAGAAATCTCTAAGGGTATTTAATCATTCAGAATAAGAAAGGTTTCTTTAATTTTTAAACATGTATTTCATTTTATGTTTTATTTAAATTGTCTTAACATTTACATAGAACCCCTTGAAGGCTTGAAAACTTGAAATTTATGTTAGATTAAAAAAAATAAATAATTACGAAGCATTGCGTATGTGGAGATATATTAGAGGAAGAAAAGGTACTATTTGAGTATGAAGATAATTCTGATAATTACAAAATATGACTTGCAAAAATTATTAATTTATATAGTGATTATTTGTTTTAAAGGAACTGGAAACCAGATTCCAGAAGAAGTTTTGCAGTAATGCTGCCTCCCACAATAGTATGAATATTTAAAGAAGTAATAATATATATGAGAAACTCCAAGTTGCAAAAGTGTAGTTAATTACTGCTTATGAGAGGGGGGAATTAAAAACACAAGGATAGTTTCTTTTCCCAGATGTTAAGAGATGGACGTTCTTGGAATTACTCAGGAAATATGGGCTAAGCAAGCTATGTTTGTGCTGCTGGTAACAACCTTTGGGAAAATTAATTAAGATAGCAAAGTCTAAAGATTGTAAACATGGAAAGGAACACCATCAGCTTCGTGGTGAAATGTACAGCCTCGCATGGTCCTCTGGGCACCAGGCCAGAGAGGAGAAACGAGGAGCATGAAAAGTACAAAGTTCAAATAGTAACTGAAAACCTAAAGAAAAAGCATTTCTTCTGGTAAGATTGTGTACCTGAACAAGTATTGAAAAAGTTTGTGTATTTTCTCCTATTTTTCAGTTGTATCTCATTTTGGCCATGGTTTTACCGATAGTCCCTTGAGGTTGATGGTGAGAAATATGTACCATCGCCCTTTGGCTTTCAATCAGTCCCTGCACAGGGACTTCTGAAAACATTTTAACCTTCATTGTTTAGCAAACAGTACTAAAAAGAAGGCATTTATTTACTGCTGGCTTAAATGTGCTAATGACAGTTTACGTGCTGTAATTTCTGAGTGTACCAGCAAAATGCTAATCTGCTTGTGTTTGTCAGGTATTTCACATATAGTTCTGGTTTCTTCAGCTGTTGAGCAAGGACTTTACTGTTACTACTGTATGAGTGTTTTCCCAGCCCACTAAAGACAGAGGAAAGTTTTAATTAAAGCTGTTAACCCTTAAAAGAGTGATTATTCAAATCTGCCTATTGATAGCAATACACTGTATTCTCAATTTCGAGTTTACTAAATATTTGTTACTAAACAATCTAGTTTCACTCATGTTACAAGAATGTAAAGTTATTTCACATATTTTGGATGTAAAACTAGACGTGTGATCTTCATCCTGTTAACTTTCTTTTTGTTTTTCCTCTGTTGTGGCATTTTCTAGCTGGTAGGAACATCAGGCTAAACCCGATTTAGTGTCTCTGTGATTATTCCTTTCTTCCAGGTTTGGGATATATGTTGACTTGTTTTTCACCCTGTCTAGTCCAAAATGGTATGGTAATTTAATATGAATAATTTCACTGGGGGAATTGGCAAAATTTATTTTCTATCTGGTTTGAGAGCAGAAAGTTTCCTGGGAAGCTCGCATAGAAACAGTGCAACAATTAATTTTAGATTTCCAGCATAAGCATTTGCTTGTTAAGAGTAACTCTTTAGCAGATGTTATTAGCCATGTTCAGTGGTCTTTGGAAGGTATTCTTTTGCTTTGTCACAGTATAAATTATGCACAAGTGTAACTGTGTAAGTTTACACCTTAAATGAAAGGTACAAGATATCGTATAGACAGTGGTTCTATATGTAAATATGCAACACTTCAGAATATGCTTTCCTTTCAGCTCCAAATGCAATCAGTGATAGGCCAGCACACATTCGCAGTGGTTTTTTATTTTAGACTTTGATACATATGCAAAATGTTGTTGATGGATTGATTGTTGTAGTTAGTTGTTACTTCTGTGTAATTTTTAAGGAAAATACCCAGTATCAGATATTTGGTGTTGCTGTATTCACTTCTGTCTGTAATAACATTTGTCTTTGATAACGTTGGTCATTAGAATGTCTTCAGGTAATTCAAATTTGCAATATTTTCAGAGAGCCATAACATGAAATGCTTATTTTATTGCATCGTTTACTGTGGGGAGGGAGGAAATTAATTTAAAATGAGATGTTTTCACTTTAAAAATTCATTTGAAAACTATGATATCTTTTTTTGTAGAAAAACCTTTTGTTCAAAAGCAGTTTATGCCTGTTTAGACAGAGGTGTCCTTAGGTTTTTAAACCTGGATGTTTGTTTTTAGAATTTACATGCTCGTTCTCTTTGGTAAACCAAACTTTCAGAAATAGTTAAAACCAGCCCCAATGTTTCAGCTTTTTCTGAGATTTTTTGAATCACAGCTGGTTAAAAAGAATTTTCTCTTCTTCACTTCTTCCCCGCCTACATTAAAAGTACCTTTTCTGTCACACAGCCTGTGTGGTTTTCCCATAGGGACATATAATGGAGTTCATCAAAGTGAAAAAAGTGAGTCACACAGTCATTTATTTACTCATGTAAGACAATAATGGTGTTGATAGTTACCAGGACATGCTGTCATTTCTTTAGATTGTGGAAAAGCTGGGAGTTTAAAAGTCCTTGCAGACTAGACTACAAGCGAAAAGAAACAAATGAAGTTACAACTACATGGTGGTTACTGTCTCATTTAAGGCCGTTTGCTGCCTTTTAGCAACAATGAGCAGAAATGTTGTTGCTCTAAATTTGCTAGAATATTTAATTATATAAATTATGAAAAGGAAGTGCTGTTTTCATGGTATAGAGAATCAAAAGATATTTACAGTTATTTTATTATGATTAAAATATCAGTTTAGATTCTAAAATTATGTTTGTCTAGTTTAATGGGTACAAGTTATTTAATTTTTTTTTATTTTTTTTAAAGTGCTTTCCCAGATCTCTCCATGTTTTGCAAATAAAGCTTTCTCACTATTCCTGCATGGCAATTTCAAGCTTCTGACTGTCCCACTTAACCCTGTTGCATATGTGAGGTTTTATGTGTATTTGCTAGACTGATGACTACGTTTCAAGTATAGAATTCCCTGCCCATTCTGTTTTCCAGCCCTGTGGGACTGGAGTTTCAAGAGTTAGTGACACTGGGCAAACTAACAGCAGAAGACCTTTTGCATAAGTGCTGTAAGAGTAACTTGGAGTCACTCTGAGTGGTAGGCTGGCTCTGCTGGCTTTATCAGAGAAGAGAGGATTCCTGACTGTGGTATCATCTGGTAGGAGCGCTTTGTGGTGTTTTAACTACTCATTTGCCTTAGCTAAAGCTAACAGGAGTTCCATTAGGAGCCCAGTGAAATAGACTCTTGCGTTCCCCAATTAACTTTGAGGCTTCTGCTTATGTGTGCAGTAGACACACTCCATAATGAGCTGTCTTGTCCTTCAGTTACTCAGCTTTGAGGATCTGCAGTGCACATGGGCTCCCTTCTAGCCAGCGTGTCTGGGTTAGCTTCCCATGGTCAGTGTGCACTGAAACCACAGCAGTCTGGGCTCACACCAGATGCCAGAAGCTGAGAAATGTTCCTGCATGCCACAGGCAGATACAGCCCAGACTTCCAAAGGAAAGGAGAACAAAAGGGAGCCTTTTGCTAAAACAGTTTGTTTCCCAAGAGAGCCACATTACTGTTTTCAGCCTCGTTCTGTAAAGGGTAACTCTTACATATACTCTGTTTATGTGATGTGTTGAACAACTGGTAATTACCTCTGAAGCAGATAAAAGGTTGATGTACTCAGTGAGAATTTAGGACACAGAGAATTTGATGATGAAACTAAAATGTACCACCTTTGTCATGTGGGAAAGATCAGTTTCTTTCTTATATGAATCTGAAACCAAAGTTTATCTTGTTCTGATGTTAATACTTCCATTAACTTCCTTGTTTGGTAGATGTTTTTCTGTGAGTGAAAGTGGTATGTCTGACACCAGAAAACATTGTTGCTTGGAAATTTTTGTGTGTAAGTTATTTCTATGTGTGAGGGGTATCAAAATCTTCATTAAAACCTCTACAGAAGATATGATACAAGTTTTACCTATCCTTAGTATTCCTTTCATTTCATCTACTGCACACCTTGCTGTTGTTTCCCAACTCCAGTCAACTGTGTAATGCTGCATAGTGGTAAAATATGAGATAAAAATTTGAAATGTAATTATTTTGAATTAACTTTCTGTGTCCTTAGCCATGCATCCTGGGTTTATTTTTTGAGGAGATGTATAACCACATTTCTAGCTAGCTAGCTAGTGTAAGTGAGAAGCAGAGATGGTCAGCATCAAGTACTCATCCAAAGCACAAGATTGCTCAGGGTCCTTTTTCCACTGTCTTTAGTTACTGGGCCTAGTGTCTGACTTCTGGACACTGGTTATGTACCCCTTAGCTGTCCTTAACAAGTAGTAAAGAATCTAAGACCCTGCTTCCCTTGTTAAATTCACTGGTGATCAGAGTTCACTTCTGTGAAAAGGCTTGTGTCTGCCTTTATTAACACCTTATTTGTCTTCAGAGTTTAATTTGGGATCTCCCTGGGTGAGCAACAGCATGGGAGGTAATCAGAAGTTTGATATCATGGCTTTAGGGCGTGCATTTTATTTCTTAATTGGTCTACATTCTACCTGTACAGAATCTGACTTAAGATATCCAAAGGTTTTTGCAAGGTAAGCATCCCTGAAATTCAAGCCTAAAATTTTTGTCATGTCACATTTGTGCTATATTTATTTATATCTGGTTTACACAGTCCATTGTGACTATATATTTAATACTGTGCTTTTCCCCACATCTCTTTCGTCTGAGAGATCATTTGTTTCCATTTTTAAACATTTTTTTTTTCAGTAGTATTTGTTATTTGACATTTATAATTTTAAATACTCTGTCCAGGTATTTGGACTTACCAATTTCCACAGAATTGTTTCAGCAGTAAATAATCAGAAAGTAAGTAAAGAATTTTCACTTATTCTCAGCAAACTGCATTCAGAGGATGAGAAGAACACCTCCGCTAGATGAACTGCAGCCGCCTCCATACCAGGATGATAGTGGTTCTCCTCATCTTTCGTGTACGCCTTCTGAAGTCGGAGACAGTAAATGTGAATTTTCCCAGTGTAGCAACAGTCCAAGATGTTCATACAAGTGCCCAAGCGAGGGGAGCACGGGACATGAAATAGAAAGTTTTCATAACAAAGGATATGAAGAGGATGTACCAAGCGATAGCACAGCTGTCCTTAGTCCAGAGGTAAATGAAAACAGTTGAGTGTTCTGAAGCATCATGCAGTGCAACCTTTTGAGAGATTTATTTTTTTTCCTAAAGATCAGTGTACAGATATATGAACACTAATATTGCAGCTTATTCATTAAAGAAACAATTAGTTTGTCAGAAAATATTACGATAGGATTTTGGATTCTTCTTTATAGTGATCAGTATGTTCAAACAAGCTCCCAGTAAGAGTGAATATTTTTTTAAACAAGTCAGAAAACTTCATCACACTGTAAGGACTGTAGTCAAAATTCTTTTTCTTCCACATAATTTTTCAAACAACTCAAAAAAGAATAAAAAATCCCTGTTAATACTTTTCAAACTGAACACCCCATAATGTAAAATGTCTTTTATGGAAAAAAAGAAAAATATTATGAAGAATGTTTCTAAATTGTTGATGGTAGTATAGAGATTTGTTCCATTTAATTTTCCTTTTTGTCTGCTATTAACTGTTAATGATATCTATTTTTGTTTACTATGAAGAAATGATCTTTTCTGACATGCAGTTCCTTGAAATGTCTTTAACAACCAGTTACTGCACTGAAATCTATGGATAAGTCTACATTAGTGATGTAGTGTGCAGAAGAGGCTCTTTTTGGTACAAATTTGTCTTTTGTCCCTACCTGAGGTTTTGAAGTACATATTAGGGAGCACTCCTGATGTGCCAACAGCTGTTTCTGTCTTAGTAGACCTCTTGGTAATTTGATGTTGCATACGTGGGGTGTTGGTGCAACATCTGGAAGGCCCACCTGCTATGTGAAGCAAGGTTCTCAAGTAGTTAGCTGTCTGCATGTACCTGATGATTAGCTCGGACCACAATCTGTATGAACTTCATTGCTGGTAAAGACATAGTCTGTACATATGGTCCTCGAACCCTAACAGATTGCAGTAAATCTAATCCTAGTTCTTCCCACTTTGTGTCACAGCAGTCATTAATGTAAGCGTACCCAAGAAGTGAGAATACTGCCAGCTTTTTTTTATAGCCATTCAACAACTTGAAGAATGAGGCTTTCAGAGGATTGAATTTCCATAGCTGTATAGCAACCAGTTTAAAATAAGAACATAACATTGTTTAATTGAAAAGGCTTTATTGTGGCACCTATTCATTTACATGAACAAGCATATCTTTGATAATACAAAAATGTGCAGGAAATACATTTGGTTTACCTACTTGGAATAACTTACTATATGAACAGTAGGTTGACATTTACTTGTAGCTATTTTGTGTTTCAATATCCCTATCAAACTAACTTTTAAAAATATAGAGGATTGATATTTTGTTCAAAATTTGAAGTGACAGTAAACAAGTTTAAAATTAAGTTTAAAATCCAGTTTTAGGACTGATGCCGCTTACAGAGAGTTCAGAAAGTGTGTTCAAAATAGACACGTCATACACAGTTCTAGTAAAACTATGTTAATAAAGCCATGATAATTTTTGGCACATGTATGAAACCCTTGTGGACTGCAACAAGAGCTGCATGTGCAAGTAGGTGTTGTAATTCCTGTATTCTTTGCTGGTCTCTCGATCCCTAGCCAGCTCTTAAAGCACTATAATATCTCAGCTTACTTAAAAAATGTGCAAATACGCTAAAATAAGGTGGCTTTATCTTGTAACAAATGTGTATGGTTTTTATCATGTGGGGCACGGAAGAAGAGGTCATAAATACAGCCTAATTTAATCTGAGCTCTGTCTGATTGGCTCCTGGCTTTTGGCAGTATTGGCCAGGTAAATTCTTTTGATTTCTTCTTGGCTGCTAGTCAGCCATCTCCTCAGGCTTTCAGTGTTTAATTACCTTGTTTATGAAATGAACAAAAAGATCATAGTCACTTCATATTGCTTAGAGAAAGCCAAATATATCCACACTGGATGTAATAATAGAATACAATAAATAAATAAATAAAAGCTGCTTTTTCTTCTTCTTCTTCAGGATATGTCAGCTCGAGGATCATCTTCACAGCTTCCTAAACCTTTTGATCCTGAGCCAGTAGCTAAATATGGCACACTGGATGTGACTTTTGACTATGACTCACAGGAACAGAAGCTTTTGGTGACAGTGACAGCTGTCACAGACATTCCCACATACAGCAGGACAGGTGGAAGCTCGTGGCAAGTACACCTAGTTCTTCTCCCTATAAAGAAGCAGAGAGCAAAAACCAGCATCCAGCGGGGACCGTGCCCTGTCTTCACAGAGACGTTCAAATTTAATCACGTTGAGTCTGAGATGATTGGGAATTATGCAGTTCGCTTTAGACTGTACAGCGTACGTCGTATGAAAAAAGAGAGGATTGTGGGAGAAAAGATTTTTTACTTAACAAAATTGAATCTTCAAGGGAAGATGTCAGTGCCAGTGATACTGGAACCTTCTTACAGTCTGTCTGTGAGTATTAAATGAGGCAGAATAAGAATGCAGTGATATACAGTGTCCTAAATTTTGTAAGAATAGTGTGTATTTATAGAGTCATCACATCCACTCCATTTTTTTCAACAGTCATAGCACCATATTAGCACAATGATAATTTCCTTAGAGTTTCTGTAAGTACGTTCACTTTCCACATGCAAAAGCTGCCCATATTTTTCCTTTTAATTACTTAGAAATTTCCAGTCTATAAATAGGGATATACTGGTGAATATATGTATATGCAAATACATATATATGTATTTAATAGTATCATCTTTATTCTGCTACCCACAGCATTTCAGTTAAAAAAAAGAGGAAGGGAAAAAAAGTCTATACTAGCAAGCGCCCTCCATCTGTTGCAATTAAATTTTGGTTGCAATAGGTATTTTCCTTTCAAGAAAGAAAGATATGAAAGAGGAATTTTGAGAGCACAAAACCATTTTTAATAACTTCAGCTTAGAACCTTGTAAATAATTGATTTCTGGTTCAGTATGAAGTGAAAAATAGAGTGAAAAGTAGTTCAAGCTGAAAAGGATTTTTGTTTGCTGAAAAAAACCCCTGATGAACAAAATTTTTTGTCTCCCAAAATTCTTTAACTTTACTATTTTTAATAAAGCAAAGCAACAGTAAGTAAGGGTAAACATAGGTATCACTATAAAAAACACAGGATATCACTGTATGGGCAGTGATCAGTGTCTCCTTTTTCTCTTTTGTAAGTATTTAAGTATGCTTCTGTCTAGAAAGAAAATATTTGTGATGATGTCGACAGGGCTTTCTAGACCGGGAGTGCTTGAATGTTCATTGCTTAAGAGCTGCTATGTGCTAAATAATGGACTTTTCGGGGAAAGAGCAGGTGATTTAGCCAGGGTATCCTTATTTGGACATTTTATGTGTTTTGTGGTGGTGTTTTAACTGTCAATAAAAGAAAAAGAAAATGAGAAGGGCAAGAAAGGAAAATATTTTTTTCAGGTGAAACAATGCAATTAATTTGTTCTGCATTTTCAAAAAGGTTTGTATCAATTGAAGTGACATTTCTGTTGAGCATGAGTATTACAAAAGACACTCAAAATGCTATTGTATTTAATGACTAAAAATATATTAATTAGAATTAGTAAAAGCTGAGACTAAAACTTGAATCTGATGGAGGATCAACCCACAAGAGAACAGCTTTGTTATCATTAAGAAGTACGAATCAGTCTATGCTAAGGATGAAGTGGTTCGTTTACCTAGTGTGAACTTTCCTAATGCAGAGTTTGCTAGTTTCACAGCTAGGAAAAAGGCAGCCCATGAAACAAAACATTGAATATTCTAAATGTACTTGTGAAATTTGTATGTGTTTTCAATAGGTTCTGGTATAAAATATACCACAGTCAGTGAAAGAGGCGAATGAATGGGCCAGGCTTTTGAGTGATTGGTGTATCTCATATGTGCACTCGTTATTCTTCTGGTTTGTTTTTTTTTGTTTTGGGGTTGGTGGTTTTTTCGAGCTTTTGTGGCAGGGAGAGTAAAATTCCAAGAGGCATCAAAGATAAGAATGTTTTTATTTATTTTCTGTGATGGTAAGAGACGCCATATCTGCATTTTACTCCCCTCCTTATTTTTTGGAGGGGGAGGAACAAGAATAAGGAATATTGGAAGATACTTTCACTTCCTACCAAAGTTTGTTGCTGTAATGGGGTGTAGGCAGATTTACCTTAACCCTACCTGTTGTTGGAAAAGAATCTTCATAGTCTTGATAGCTTGAATAAGCATCCATGGTTTTTTGGAACTACACAAATCAGTTTTTAAACCTTTGAAAATTCATTCACACCTGAGTTTGTATTTTTCTATTATTTATAGCCTATATCATATTTTTTGATTGAGTAGATCTATTACAGGATTTAACATTAGTTATTTTGCAAGATTGTTAAAATTTATTGGGTTTAGGATGTATGACTGGAAGGGGGTGGCATCCTGGGTCACTTGAGGTCAAGTCCTTGTTATTGCAGACAACCAGGTCATCCTGATCACAAATTTGTGAATTTTCATCTGAAAACATCAGGTTGTTTCATTTCCAAACTGAATTTCTTCATGACCAATTTATAACCATTTGTTCTTATGCCATCATGGTCCTAGAGGTTAATTAGTTCTTACCCTTCTCACCTGTTTGTGTCTGGGTCTCTTTATATGTGTTGGTTGTATTCCTTCTCAACTGTCCTTTTGCTAGAATAAACCAACAACAATCTATGTCCAACTAATCATACATGCCAGGCAGGAATTATTTAACAGGAGAAGGTAAGTGTTGTTTCAATTTGGAGAGATCCAGCTGTTCAGGGGTTTTGTAATTATAAAATCCATGATGAGGTACATTGTAAATTCTGAATTAAATTTGCCTTGTTCAGTTGCAGAGTGTTTTGTTGCTGTGAAGTGTTTCTATTTGACAGCTTTTTTACAAAGCTATTTCTTGGACGTGTGACAGTTGGCCTATTTTTTCCACTGCTGCTCATTATATGGATTTTATATCTTAAATATACCTTCTGTCACTGAAACTTCTTAATCCATTGAAACATCTATGCTAATCTCTTCTGCAGAAACAAGTTTTATTTGCTTCTGTCTGTGCCTGATATTATATTAATGTATTTTATTAGCTACTCATCTGCCTTCTGATCATATAAGGACAGTCAAGTTTAGTATTTTTTCAGTTATACCTTAAAGCAATTCACAAGGGAATCTGGTTAAAGGTAGACCAGCAAGTTCAGTGCCTTTGAAACAGTGGTATGCTCGCTAGTATGTTCTTTAAATAGGTTTTAAAGCCACACGTGGCTTCAAATTTATAAACATATTTACAAACATATTCACAAATTATCTTCTTCACCCAAGATTTCACTCTATTCCTCACCTTCCTACATATTGCATATAATGTCTTGCAGTAGCAGCAATTATCCACAGTCCTATTGCCATTTGTCTTGAACAGTCCTGCCTTGCTGCAGTTCTCCCACGTAACAAGGAATTCCTCCTCATGCAGTATCCTCATCCCCCTAATTTATCACAGCATTCCTTCCAGGTTGAGTGTATGTTTGAGTGAGGAAGATGCTATGGAACCAATATGGGCTAGCCAGAGTGTCGCTGTGATCTGAGACTGTCCCTTCCAGATTTGATAGAAAGTGGCCATTGCATCCGACAGTTAATAGCAGGGCTGCACACTGTGGTTTTGTCTGAGCATAGTTTGCTTAGGAAGACCTTTGTGGATCCTTTTAGAGAAATTTTCCATTTAGTCTACAATTTAGACAAATTTTTTGTTCACCTGCCTTGGAGTTTAGAATCCATTGATATGTTGTTTATTTTTCTTCAAGAAATCCCTGTGGACCTGTTTTTAGTTGCTCTTTGTTGTTCTTACCCAAAGAAATTTTCCTGACAGTGAACAACAGCCTCCAGTGTGATGTGATTATAAAAACTTATAAGCAGTTTATTGAGTGAAATCTCTTTCAAAAAGATCAAAAAAACCAAGTGTAATCCTCTTCGCCATCTCATAGATTGCTTTTTGGTGTAGAGTAACAACAAAAAACATTTTATATTTTTTGATTGATTTTGGAAGTACAAGTTTGACAACCGAAACATACCTCTTCCTGCTAAGCAAATCTAGTAATCATTCATTATGTGTTGTCAATAACAAGATGTTTGCTGTGGAGAATTAAATTTATTTTTCTTTCTTGCCATCACATTCTTTCTTTCTAACATTGAACTCCCAGATGTGATCCCCATAACAAAGAATGGATGGCAATCATACGTGCTTACAGGATTATTTTGTATATCTTGACTATAAATATCCAGAGTGTCCGGGAATTATTTTAATTACAGTTTTTTGAATGAAGGCATTAATGCATACAATGTATAAAAATGCTCACTCTTGCACGTGCATATGCGTGCCCTCTCCACTTTGAGGATGGGGGTTAATCATCTAGTTGCCATTTGTTTATGCATTGTGCTTAAAGCATTTGTTCCACGTTGTCCTTTGTGTGGCAGATCTTAAGTATTCTTTCTAATGGATGTTTATCAGTATATAAACGTCTCAGGAAAAAAAAAGCTTTCTGAGTGGCATTTCTTTCTTGGGAATTCTTGGCCATTATAGCGTTGAGCTTGTCAGGTTTTGTACAAATCCTAATATTTTAGATGTATTGGTGACTTTACTACTGTATTCTTAGGGTATGGTCTATTCAGAATTGTATTTGGAAGGATAAATACTAAAATCTATGTGTATAAACATCTTTACTAAATAGTAGTACCAGTATGATACTTTAAACAGCTAACAAATACTAGCTACAGCTAATAACAAATGTTACTACAGCTAACAAATAAATTACGAAGACTTTAGGGGAAAAAAAAACCCTCAAAAGATTTTCTTCGTAGTATTTTATTTAACTAGAATCCTACCTAAAAGGATCATTTCCTATGTGATGGTGCATAAATGCTTTCAGTTAGCTTGTAAAAATTATGTCCATCAAAGTAGGGGGCAATTATCTTTCAACACTGAGCACATTCTTATCTTGGGGGAGTAGCTTGCCGCATTCATTTGAGTTAGTGGTGTAAAACATGGAAGATCAGAATCAGTCCTTTGACACAATAAGAAAGATGACTCTTGCAATTTCTGTGAAGAAAATTATTAGGTGATGGGAAAGTGGTGATCATGTTACTGAGGCTGCAGAAGAACCTGACAGTACTTGGCAAATGGATTCCCTGCGTTTGGCTGGTTGTGCAATGTTTCATGGCAGTATTGGCAAGCAGCAGCTGTTGTCTTCTCAGTGTCATGGCTGCCTCAACTTGTGCGCCTTCGTGTGGTGTTCCCTGAGCAGTGCTCATGGCAGCCGAGAAGATAAGTGCTAACCCATGGCACTCTCTTATCGGGTCTTCATCAGGATACGGAGGGATGCAGAGAACCCAAAGACAACTGTGGCTGCTGTGCTCTAAAACTAACAGTGTGTCTGCACTGTTCTGACAGGTGC